AATATTCAAATCTTGTAAGGGAAATATCTCATTTTAGAAGACTGTATTACGCTTTGTAATTGCAAGCAATGGAACAAATTTTCCGTTTTGTTTTCTCATTTTATTTTATTGACTATCGACATGTGTCAAGGAAAATCGGCATCTTCCTACGTAACTCGATGAGCTCTATCCAACTATATCAGAAAAAGAACTTTACTATGTTTTTGAATTGCCGACACCTTATGGCAAATTCTTATCTAATTCTGCTGAAGCCAGTCAGTTTTGCAAATTTATGTATTGATAAGATAAATTTTATCGATTATTTTCTGTACGTTGTTGTATGTAAAATACGTGCTCGGTATTCCGGGATCTTGATACTGTCGTTTCACACAACAGCGAAAGATTTACCAGCCTGTTTTTATTTATATTACTTCCAATACTGATTCTTCTGTTTACCATTTCACTTTTCATTTTCAAAAAAAATTTATTTTTATTTTTATTGTTAAATATCACCTATCACACATAAGCAACGTTCGCACTTTAGCTGTGATCTATGTTAACAATGTCAAACAATATAAAGAACAAACAAGAACAATATTTTTTGATGTTGACATAAACGAAATGCTGTTCTTTCTTTTGATCTTCTAAACAGTTGTTTGTACCGGAGGCTCGTAACCATCTGATCGTTCAATTTTTTTGCCTTTTTCATCTGTTGCACCACTATAACTTTCACCATGCATTTCCATTAATCGGGCCACTAAAAGTAGAAAAATATTAAAGTCATTAAAAAGGATCAACTTTTTTATTTTGAGTTTAACATACTATCGAATTTTGGTTTTTTCACTACTTTGACTTTTCGAATATTCACATTTTGCAATGGATATATACTACGGCATACTTTCTCAATTTCAGCGCCAATACTATTTGGAATTCTGAAAAAGAGGCAAACATTTTGTTAACACAGAATCAATTATAGAGTTTTATAGTCTATTGATCTATACTGTTCTTTCAAGTATAGAAATACAATAGTTATGAGTGTCTCTTCAAAACAGAAAAACTTACAATTTATTGACAACATCTTTCAATTCACTTCCTGCAATTTCACGTGTGATAATTTCAACCATTTTTTTTCGGATTGCTTTTATCTATAATATATAGAAAAAGATATTTATGAATAACTATCATTCAACTAATCTTACTTGAGTATGTTGAGCATAACATGTTTTTTTAATTTGTTGACGCATTTTTGTTGTAAAACCAATACAAAATACTCGAAGTAAATAGCCATCCGATGTTCGAACGTCCGCTTGTGCTTCAATCAATGTCTATATATTCACGACAAAAATAACAGTCATTGCACTAATATTTTCTTTGCAGTTTACACTTACTTGCCATTTTTTCACTAACATACGCAAACGATCAGTTGTTATATCCATTCCATGAAAGTTTGTTAGACAATGTCTTCCTTGTACTTCTTCACAAATTAATCTAAATTTTCTGTAACTATCTTCATCATCTAATTTGATTAAATCACCAAGTGATACTTCATATACTCGGCCTTTTAATGCATCCGATGCTATTTCTAAACAAACAAAGACAAATCCAATATTTTTTTAGCTCTTTATAAAAATATGTTACTTACTTGTTCCTGTTGTTCGTGTAACAAGTGTTCGTCCTACAGTACGTGTTTCAAAATTTGCTGGTGCTTTTACATCGTACCAATCTTTTTTTGAAAATGGATCAGCACTACAATAATAAATGAGTTTAATAAAGCAGTTCCCAAGTAAATAGAGAGAGAATTCAACAATAAACTTACACTTTCTTCTTGCCACCCTTTTTGCCTCCTTTCGTTAAACGTTTATTTTTTCCGATGGCCATGTTATTGAATGGAATACTCCAAATAAGATATCTGAAATATTTTTTGAGCTAGTGCATAAAGTAAAAGCAAACTTAATCCAAAATACATGTGAGTGTGCAAGTTTTCTAGCATTCAACTCTTCGACTAAATATCTATAAACTCTCTTGCGTGGTTTCATTTTTAAATTTTATCCACAAACTCTCTTGCGTAATTTCGCTTTTAAATTTTTATTTTGAAGAATGTATAAAAATTGGATGTGCAGTGATTATTATACTTTATCCTTCTGAAACTCATATTATTAATGGCTAATTTCAAACCAATCAATACGAAACAATAAAGACTTTCGATTATTATAAGAGTCAAGAATACTTTACATATCTGTTGTCACACATCAAGTTAAGTTTAGTATCCTCTTCCTCTATGAGAAACTATCAGCTTGAAATAACCGGAAAAGTATTATATTCTTATGAAATGAGTGCAGTTGAAATGAGTGACATAGATTACTGTAGAAGAGCGACAGAAAAAAATGTTTCCAATGATAAACTGTACATAGAACTGTTGTGTACATACGAGCAACGTATACTTTGTTATATAATACCCTGTGCACTGTGAAATTAAAATTTACGCGTTTTTTCTAGAGAATTTCGATCAATTTAGAGTACATAAGAATCCTTATATTGTAGAAATAAAATGTATTCATCGAATATACCTTTGAAACCTGGTGGTTCTGATGTGATTAATAAAATGTAATTTTTTGCTATTTATGAAATTAGATAGTGGAATGATAGGCGTTTTATCTCTATCACCATTCATTACATCTTGGTGAGATTCAGACAAACGTCGTCGTTGTTGAAGATAAACTGTCGAAATTAGTGAAGGGTGTCTCCATTTATTTAGGTCCCAGTTTATACAAACATAAAAGCCTCAAAAATTTCGATACCATATCCCCATCCAGGTCGACGAAATCGCGGCATTTTTAACAATTGATCGCCGTTAATTGCGATTAATTGACCATTTCGATGATTTTTCCTTTTTTTTAAAATCGTTAATTAATTGCAATTAATTGTTGATTTTAAGCGATTGAATGGTTATTGTTATCCACTGTTTTATTTTGCAGTAAATTATTTATATAAGAAACACCATTTCAACGAGAAATACACTTCTATTTAGATCATCTTTTTATTTTAGAGTAAAACAGAGTTATCAAGAGTCTTCTCTATGGTCCATCAGAGCTTTAAGCCGAGAGTCCAATGAACAGCTGGTATCTGGGCAATGTCTAAAATCGACTCGTCGAAAAGGCTCCGGCTTCAGCTGGTGCTACGACCGTTGATGGCTGACATACATGTCATTATACGAGTAAACAATAGAAAACAGAAAAAAATATGTATTTTCTAAGATCGGTTCGAACCTAGTAACTAAAAAAAAAATCGTCAGTTAAGCGCGAAAATCATCAAAAAATCGGCGATTAAGCGTATGATTTTTCACGATTAATTGCCGATTTTTAGTACGCAGGCGGAACAAAAAAAATAAAGTTGGTTTTGAGTTGCTGAAAAATACTTTTTCGTATTCAGCATACTCGATAGCCCAGAAGATTTTTTATTTTTGGTGAGGAGTGCTTGCAAAATTTTTGAAAAATTTTTGAAACTAATCTTATTTTCCGATGGAAATTTTTTTGCGTCGTTTTGTTTCAAAAAGTTTCCTAGTTTCGATTTCGACCTTTCCCCGAATGAAGCAACTTTATCCTTGTTTTTTCTGCATTGACAGAACTTCCATCGCTGTTCGACGTAACGTATGAAAGAGCAGCTTGAGTAGCCCGATTAGTGGTATTAAAAACTTGTCCTACTACTCTTACATGATAGCTGTCACAAAATGACTGACAATGAGAAAAAGATATTAAGTATTCTATCTCTTCTGAACGCAAAACAAAACGAAAAGTTCTAAGATGAAAATGAACCTGAAGAGGTGTCTAACCTAATGGAAAAAGAATTAACTCAATATAATACCTATCTTTCTCTTTGACCATGGCGTCCATCTTTAAAGACCCCATTTCAGAAATACCCAACTTTCGATCTCTCTAGCTCTCATTCTAAGTATTCATTGAGCTCTACACACAAACATTTCTTCCCTTTCACCCTCGTTTATCCATCAAAAAAGTCAAAAATACCGATTAGTGTTTTCATGTGTCGCTGACTAAATAACGAAAAATTTTCGATTTACACACTTCCTTCTTGTAATAAACCGCCTATTAACTGAAGTATCAATCCATTTCCTCAACCGAAAGACATTTTATCAGAAAATAAGACGAAAGAAGTTGAAAAAAGCGCCAATGCAGCCCGATAGAGGCGACATCTCGTCGAAAATACTGATTGAACCATTCGTTTATTTCCAATATATGGAAAACGGCGGCCACTTTTGGCAGGATTATTGACAATTTTTTCAACCAATTTTATATTATGATAGTTTAGTACAAAAAAGAGGAAGGTAGGTATTGAGTTAATTCTTTTTCCATTATATTAGATTAGACAACCCTTTAGCTTCATTTTCATGTTAGAACTTTCTTTTGTTTTGCATTTAGAAGATAAGAGGTAGGATACTTATTGCCGTTTTCTTATTGTCAGCCATTTTGTGACAGCTACCATGTCCCTGAGTCTAACCAGTTGTAGTAATCAAAATCACAATTGGACTCTGATTTTGAGGCCGCCAAAAATCAGCCATTCTTTCTATGAAGAAAAGGTGCTGGAGACCTAAATCGAAAAACATCCGGGCGTATCGAAGCCTAGTATCTATGGTAAAATTTCGAGCTCGAACGGACGGACAAAGTTTCGATAGTGTCTGTGTGGTACGCAGTGAAAAACCTGATTCTTCAGGAAGCCATACCTAAAAGTGAGATCGAAGGTCTGAGCAGAAAATATGTCTATTTTATCTTCCGAGAAGATACTCTGGTAAAAATTTTAACCCTTCGCGGTCAGTTACTATGATTTTGTAACAAGAGAAGAAATGAGGGAGTGGGTGTCCTTAATGGATATTAACGCGTCTCAGGATTAGGCCTGGAACAGTTCGCATATACAACGTTCTCACAGCTAAATTTGAATGCTCCCTCCATTCAAGTTCAAATGAATGTGAATGATCTGACTAAACTGTTTCGACAGTCTACCGTGCGTTTCACATGAACTGAATGCCATTGAAAAGAATTTTCCACTAATAAAATACATAAAGTTGAGATAACTCATTTTACAATGAGTCTGAGAGGCTGGAAGTTCGGACTTATAGGAATTCGTCATGATAAATCGAATTTGATTATAAGTAATATCTACGAGCATTGTCATCAGTCGAAATTTTTTGCAGTTCAGACAAGGAATGCACTTAAATGGATGATCCCATTGTTGCCTGTAAAAGGATATTTCTATTGATAATAGTCATACAGTTTGAGGTGGAATGTAGTACTACCTTTAATTGCTGCTTTTTAGCTCGATGATAGTCCCTTCTCACATTTGAATTCAACTTATATTAAATGTGCTATATAATAACTATTTCTAGACTTACCAAATGAATGTGAATTGTCGAAACAGTTCCTGTTCATTTGAATGGGAACGGCAATTTCCAATTCCCTGACCTTGCGAATTGTATCACGTCTACTCAAGATGATCATGCTTTTCAGTCAATGTTATCTAAAGTCGATAATTGTTCGAGATGATTTAATTATACCAGTATTTATTAAATCTATTGACATCGCAAAAAGAACAGTCATACGTTTATTCTAAAAAAACAAGCACACAAAACAGGTGAATAAAAGAATACTATACCGAACTTTATACATTACTCAAAATATAATATATATCACTCAAATATTTAGAAAAACATGTAGAAAAGAGACAAAATTCTGAACGAGTATTGTAAAAAATAAATACACATGCAGATTCTTTACACAAAAATGATTCCAAAAGAAAAGAAGTTGAGCTGAAAAGATGTCGCTATCTTTATAAAAAACTCTCATCTAATTGAACAATATTTGACGAAAGTTCATCATCTGATGAAGGAGAAAAGTTATCATGGTGAACCGGAATTATACTATTCTGACTGTTATTCATACTTTTATTTATAGATCGAGGTAAAAGTGGAGTTTTATAATATTCAGAATTATGATGAATCAGTTGGACTACGTTTTCGAGTGAAACATGTTTAAGTGACGTTGTCGTATTATCGGAATTATCACGGTTATAAATAATAATAGAGACACAAATCACTTCGGGAAGATGAATTGGTGTGGAAAAACGACATGACACGGAGGTATAATCAACAGATATGTATTTATCATTATGATCAAGATATTTTGGTCGACGATTAAAAAATCTGTACACGCGACCATAATGTTTATGTTTTCTAGTGTCACTAAAAACGCACAAAAAGACAAATATCAAATTATAGCACAGACGGTCAAAACAAAGAAATATCTAATCACTACTTCAGATTATATTAGCAGTTGCACACAAAGGTCTAAACCAGTCATTTAAATCCTTAATTAAATGCATCATACAATTGAAAGTGTAATCAATGCTGCTGATTCTGAGTATGATAATGTAAGTTACCTGTGGGCATCCAAAGACCGCTTTTCAGAAAACCATATGTCAAAAACAAGTTTTTTTCTCAAAATCAATTTCGATGTCAGTCATTTTGTAGATAGATAGATAATTTATTCATCAAGTTCTTTCGATGGTACAAAGAAGAACACGACAGACGTAGCAAAAAGTGATAAACACAAAGATTACAAAAATCAATAAATTTTCGAGGAAAGGGGAAATTTGCACGATTCAACGAGAAATTTACTGCTGTTAAACTGATTTTTTTCTTAGCGCTCATTCTTGTGCGGCTTTCGACTTACAACGTTTTAACTTTTTTTTTTATATATTGTTTCAACTATTCATCTTCTACCTGTTACACTTTATCACTTAAATGTAGCCTATCTTATACATGGCCTAAAATGGTTCGCCGCTGGCCTTATTATTAGAAACAATAAAGATATAAATCAACGTTTCCAGAACATGTTCGCGAATCAAAATAATTTACAGAAATAGACCTGATTAATTTGACGTGCTCTACAAAATGACTGATATCACAATTGATTTCCAGAAAAAGCTTTTGTTTTTGACGTATGGTTTTCCGATCTCCAGGATCATTATTTCTGATAAGTGAAACTAGAGATCGGTCAGGGTATGTCGACTTTTCACAATAAACTTGTCAAATAACTGGTTCACTAATAATAGGAAACTTTTCTCTTGTTCGTTAGTGCTGAAAAACGGACTAAGAACTCATCGAACACATTAAAAATGCTATCAAGATCTTTTAACTATTCTCTCCGGCATGCTGATGCTGGAAAATTCAAAAATATTCAGTCACTGACTTGTATGATGTATTCAGAATGCGAGTGTTCGGGTCGATTGTATCCATGTCAAACGTTGGCATCGTAATATGCAATTGAGCTAAAATTCAACAGTTAAGATAATAAAAAGTCTCTTATCGTTCTCTTTCTTACACTGTGGTAAATAAACTTGTTTTACACTGTCAAGATCATCATGCATATTAATGTCGACGATCATATCGATATATTTGGTTAAACTACGATGATTAGCCTAAGAAAACGTTTAAGATATTTAATCACGAGACTTTATCAACTTTATCGAAATCGTAAAGTATACCTGTAAGCTATAATGAGCATCAGTTTGTTCTAACGGCACCAAAATATGTTCACAAAACAACTGCTGCAACAATTTACTTGTAAGACCTAACAGAAAATAGAACGAATACTAAAGCTACTAATAATAATACTGAAGATAATAATATCAAAACCAGCCACCTATTAATTATCAACTTACCAAGCCAGTCGTCTATTTCCAGGTCGTATGAATTCCAAAACGATTCGATATCCGTTTGCAGATACGGTAAAATACGTTGCGGATACCATTTTTGAACGAGTTGTTCTGCTTTGATCAACACAAGCTATAATTAAAGAATATTCATAATTAAACAAAAATAAGACATAGAAAACTGAAAACCTACGGATAAATCAGTTTGGGTTAATCGTATTCGATCATGATTTTTGTTCACTTTTACACGTAACATTTGCATGCGTCTATAAAAAAAGAGTGTAGTATTAATACAAATTTTTTAAAGTTACTTTCGACTTACTGTTGAACAACATTGTTTAAGTCTTCGACATATTTCATTTTCGTTGCAATCATATGAGAATAAACATTTTCATCATCCGATGGTAAATTTGTGATACATGCAGAAAATGGACGAAATACTTCATTAAAGAATTTACTAGAAAAAGATTTCCCATAGTTTTGTTAATTTTTTTTAAAAATATAGCAGAGAATTATTATACTCACTCATATTGTTGAATTGGTTCCATCAAAATTTTTTCGATATATGAACAGTACGCTTTTAATTCTTCTTGTTCAATGAGTGCTTCAAATGCAGCTAAAACTTCTGGAGGTGATACCTGCAAAATGTCTTTAGAATTAGTTCACATGAATACAAAAGAATCATTCGTCCATTACCTGATAGAAATATTGAGATGCAAAACCAGGACCAGCAGTCCGCACGGCAAGAAAAGTATCATGAACTGGTACTCGTGCAAAACGTTTGATTATAGTATGAAACATTATCTGATCATATAAAGCTCGTGTACACCAATGCAATACGCTATCTATATGACAAAATTACCATCTACGTTTTCGCACAAGATAAAATGTGTTTTCTCTGATAGGAACTTACAGATCAATATAAGAAAGCTAATTACTGGACTAACTAAAATAGCGAATACAGCTAATATTGGTTGCAATAATCCGCATAATAAAAAATCATTAACAATTACATTAATTAAACAAAACAATTTTCGACCGTATTCTCCTTCAAAATTAAATGATATTAATCTTAGCATAAATCAAATAAAAAATATCTAAGTCCTACCCACCTGTTGAGTCAACATCATAAATAAAAATCATCAAAGTATGTACGAGAAGAGAGATCATAGGCATCCTTCAAAAAAAAATATGTAAATAATGAAATATTAAGCATATTTGGTTTTTTGTGTATATTTGTACCATATCGGTGATAATAATCCAAGAATAAATGAACCAGTCGAAACAAGTAAACATGTTGTAGGATAAAACAGACATACACATAATGTACCTAGAATGCCTTTAATCAAATAATTCCATACACGATTAAATATGCGTTGCACACTCTTTCCCAGAAAACCTAAACAAACAGGCATCACAAATGACCATTTCAGACGTTGTACAGCGCAAAAAAAGTCATTATTCAAAATATTTGAAAATAAAATACATTAATTTAAGTTTTTTCAGAAATGAAGAAAGAATTAAAACGAAATTACCTTTGTCCGGTGGACGTTCAAATTTCGCACGCGATTGTTGTACATTCGTCCATATCGTTATTAAACGAGATAAAAATGTTTCATATTTTGAATTTGTATCTGCATGCAATTTTAGCTATAAAAGAAAATTAAAAATACTAAAAATATTCAATTTTTACAATTATATTCTATTTTTAACTTACATCTTTTCGTTCCAATATGTAATTGGGTGTGAATGATTTCGAAGAAAATAGAACTGTAAAACTAAAATAATAAAATCAAAAATAAAATACTAAAAACAATTTGACTTTATTTACCTAAATGAACTCGCAAATGGTATTAAAATCTGATAAAAAAAAATTAAAAAAAAATTCTATGAAAATTATTCAGAGCGTTAAAAGCACACTATTGAACTTACACAAAGCGTGTAAATCACATTGGATAACCAACAAAATGTTCTCAAACTAAAATTTTTCCATCTCCAAAATGGAAATTTTGTCATTGTTTCTAAAATTAATAAGCACAACATAAATATTAAAAAGATAAAAATTAACGAACTTACCATAAATGACTGTTTTTCGTAACTGATACATTGTATCGGGCTACAGGACAAGAAGATGAATAAAATTAGATAAAATTGATGTATTAACATGGATTACTATAATTATGACTTACATCTGTATCAATCATAGATGTATCTGGATTATCATCAACAGCTTCCATCGTTTTAGATGCAAATGTTGTTGGAATCTGTTGAACAGGTAATGGATGTATTTTTTCAATAATCCAATTCGCAGGAAACCAAATAATTCTTGTGTGGTAGATGATTCGAACTGGTTGACTAATAGTTTTTAAATTCATACGTAGTACACGTTCATGCTAAATAGAATAGAAACAAACTTATTTAGAATATCTTTGATATATGATTGTATATATTTACATCTTTTCGAAATGTCAAATCACGCTGAATAAAATAAGCGGCTTGTTGATTGCCTAATGTTTTGCATCGTTCAATTGCGCGCAAATGAGTATCCCATTCATGTTCTTTAATAAATATTATCTGAACAAAAAGAGTCAAATTTATTGTTAGAGTTCAAAATTATTACAGTGCATGATCAAATCTTAGTCATCGAGTTTTAACAAACAACTAATAAAATTCATTAAATAAAATTCAACTTACTCGTGCTTCAAATAGTTTTGCTTCTAACCAGCGTTTTATTTTCGATTTAATTGGATGTTGTTTAATCAATACTTTTTTAGTCTAAAAACGAATTTTATAATCATTTACCCTCTGATAGATCTTGTATATTCAACTTACATTTTCTAAATGTTCATTAAGTTTATCATTGAGATATTTCACAACATGTTTCATTACTAATATTGCACGTACATAAGCCACAATTAAATTTCCTAGACCGGGTGAACATTCATCAATTTCTTCAGATTGTTGTATAATATCAAAAACCTTTTCCAAATAGAGTTGTAATATACGTTCATTGACGTTAATTGCCAAATTCTCTTTCGAGAGTGTTGAATTTTCAGAATGATCTAAATAGAAAAACTATACTATTATTAAATTATTAATAAATTTTAAATTAAAAAACAATACGTTTGAATTCATTCAAAAGTTGTCGTTTTGTTGTATTGAACCATGTTTTTGATATATTTTTCTCAAGTAATCGACGAATAATAGATTGAATTTTTTGCTGAAGATCTGGTCGGGAAAAATTTGATGAAATTAAAATTTATTGTACAATAATTTCTCTTTATTACCTCGATTATGAAGACGAAAATCAATATGAACATTTGATGGAGTCAAAAAATGATGTGGATATGGTAGCATCTTTGGTGGTTTTTTCTACAACAGAATAAACAGATCAATTAGTAATTAAAAGTAACTTTAATTAAAACTTCTTACCTGATCTCTTCTCAATGTGTAATTATTTTTGTCTTCCAGAAATTGTAATAGTATAGGAACTTGTGCGCAAAATTCACGATGAATATCACGTTCGTCATTCTAGAACAAAATAAATAAATGTAATTAAAAAACAATATTATACATGTTCATTCTACTCAATATGGCAATTGAACGAATCAGTCAGATAGATCAAACTATACTTTTATCTACTTACATGCGGTAAAAGTTCTATAACAAGAAATTTCTGTCTTTCACTTTCAATTTGATCATTTAATCCATGCGAATAATTAGCAGGTAATCCAATTAATGTATCTAAACAAAATAGAGACTGACTCTAATATTGAAAGGCATTAGGCGAAGCATACCTACCAATCAGTGTAACAAATCCACGCTTCCATGAGTGAAAAGCCGCTTTTAAACTAAAACAATCTGAAATAATTCGATCACGCGCAAATATTATAAGCAAATACAATGACCACGATAATTCCTAGAAAAAATTTATTGAAAAATTGAATTTTTCATATTATTTATATTAGTGTAACTCACTTTATAGAATATTGTATGTGCTTTTTCTGTTCCTGTTTGTAACAAAGCACTTAAAATCCAACGATGTTTTTGATCTGGAAAATAGTTGCTATCGACCTGAAATTCTCTGAAGAAAAAAAAGAATGAAAATACACGTTAATTATGATATGTGATATGGTAGAGAAATAATGTATTTACCCTAATTTTTTGATACTTTCTAACTGGTAATCCGTCAGTTTTTTTGTTGAACCATTTTGATCTGTAGCCACTTGTTCTAATTCATTAAGCGTCGGTAGTTGAAATAATGAACTAAATCTAACCTAAATGGAGATCAAACAGTTTATTCAATAAAAAAAATAAATCACTCGAACAACTTACGACATCAGTATCTTTTATTCCTGTAATTGATGGTGGTAGTGGAATTTTAAAGTCTCCATACTGTTTTAAAGTTTGTTCAGCTTTCTACAATGTCAAAAATAAATACTATCTTCAGTTATTTCATTAATACTTCACTATATTTTTGGATTCTTACTTGTCGAATATAATTTTGAACATCTCCTATATCTACCGATGAATGCTCGACTGGTAACTTGAATTTAATCGGTATAGTCTAATACAGACAAGTTTATTAATCATATTTGATTTGATTTTTCTTCACTATTTAACTTACTTCATATTCAGGCAGGTAAACTGAAAATGGTTCTTCAACTACTTTATTTCGTTGAATTGTGTTAGCTGTTACATTTTTTGATTCCATAATTATATTTTATTGAACCTTTTTTCTTGCAAAACACGTGTCTTAGACATCGTTCGACAAAATCCAAACACTGGAATAAATATGAATGATTACTAATGAATGTGAACGATAAAATCTGTATTAATATTTGGTTTGTTGGCTATTATAGCCTGTAGTCATCAGAATGATCGCAAAGATTTTTTGATAGTGTAAATGCTGTTACTTTTATTTGTTCATTCATCTAGTTTTCTTTTCTTATATTACTAATAGCATACATTATTCTTTTTCATTTCTTATTCAGATGTAATTTGTTATTACTGTCTTAGTCAATAAGAAAAACGAAGTTTTTAAAAAATTCTTTCTTGATTGCAAGACAACCTTATAATGTCAAAATAATTGCCATCTATTTGCGGAAAAACAGTTGCAACATAGATGAATTCTATATGATTGAATTCAATAGTTCATGAGATAAACATATATTGACTTTCATGTGTTCAAGCAATGAAAGTCCATACAAAGAATACAAATCTTTCGAAAAAAAATAAGTCCGAATGATGTTTAGATGTTTGCGGAATCAAACTTTTTTGATCCCGGTTCCATGAACAAAAAACCTTTTGACCCTGGTCGAGATCGCGTAGAAAAAAATCGTTTTTGGTCACGATCCCGTAGACTTGTAGCTTTAGCTGTTTTCACAAACATTTGAGCTTTGAACAAAGTGTATCAGAATGACAATCATTCAAACTTACTCGAAGAACAGCACTATTGCGATGAGATTATTGGTTGAAGAATTTTAGAATTTTGGATGAGTTCTTTACCGCAAAACTAGTGCCAAAAAGCTATAGAAACTAAAAAAATTTTATGCTTCATACAAGATTATTGTCAAAAAAATCTGGTTCGGGTCTCGTGGGATCGGGACCGTCCCGTAGAGTTTTAATGATGATCACTTACAGTTTTTAACCTTGATAACTGCTGTCTTCGAAACAAAAACTGTCCTTTTCAGAGTTATCAAAATTATTGCTGAAAGAAAACTTATTTGTTCCTGATAACAAATACATCCCGGCAATATCGATTACATTAAATATGAAGGAAAGATTTATAAATTAATTTCTCTAAACATCAACCAGTTAAAAGTAATTGTAAAAATGTAACTAAAGTATCAATAATAAGTTTTGGCAAACGTACTGGGACACATGATATAGTCAGCAATAAGAAAGACTCTCGTTATCGTCCGAGGTTTCCGTACTAATAAAACAGACAGACACATACTTTGCTGGAAATGATAAGTATCAATATTATTTAAATATGAATCATTGGTAGCATTAGCATTATATATAGTAAAAAAACTAGTATCGAATAAACATAGGAAATAAAACACAGACATTTTTTGTTTCAATCCAGATTGGGGTAAGAATATGAGAAGAGGATACAAACGCTATACTCTTGACCTAGTGTACAAGTTGGCATGAATAAGGAAAAGAAAAGAAGAAAAAGCTCATCATCAGGAAGCTACATGAACATGGGTTATATATGTTTCTTTCGTTCTTTTTTCATTTTTTTTCTCATGGCAGCATACTCTACACTTCAGTGAACAATAACCACAATGTGATGTTCGCCTCATTTTCAACATATTATGAAAGTAAAATAAATGCAGTATCGGATAGATCGACAATGTAGCCCATATATGCTCAGACAAAAAAAAAACTAATCAGACAAAGATTATCTATGACGTTTGTATGTGCGCTATAATCCTTTGACATAATGATACATACGAAATATATTGATGAAACATATCGTTCACTCATCAGCAGAAAAGGCTAAGTGTGAAAAGTTTTATTAAGTTTATGTTTCTTATATAGTATGATAACAAACAAAACGATGAATGAATAGCGTCAAGGACTCTCTAGACAATTCGAATACTTTGCATACTTCACAAAACATCATTTTAAGGAAGACTACTTGTGCATTTTTCAAGTACTAGAGGTAGTTTATTATGTAGCACCAACTTAAGAGTGCCATCAGCAATCATTCGGTATCTCCATCGGCAATTCAAAATTTATTAGGGATTTAGTGAGCAGTATTTATGTATCACATACAACGAAATATAGATGCACTTCGTAAAGAAAAACATGAACACAAACGACGGAGACATGTTCTTTCTCATGGAAATGAGTTATCACTTGTGAACGAAATAGAGAAGTACAGCAGCGGGTTGGCCGTAAGATCAGAGCGGTAATCGCAACAATAAAATTTTTTAGAGATATGGATGAAAAAAAACTTGTTTGCAATGCCGTACCCTGTTTTTGAAATTTTGTTGCAGATATTTTTTTACGCGAGTTTACCATAAACTTATTTTTGATCGTTATTCCGTAACTCTATAGAGATTTCACGCTGTTGCTTTTTGAATGACACATACAGATCACATACAAAACGAAGGTGAAGAAACAATATAAAGCAGATAAAAAAAGAGAATGAGAGCATTAGGCAAGTCATACACATGACATATATTTGGCCCATTTGATATCTTTCAAAAAGAAAATCTAGATGTTGGAGGAAAATAGTGTCTAACGAATTGTAACAGTATGGTTCTTAGTTTATTTCTTACTCCAGAGTGTGGAGAAGACAAGTATGCGAATAGAAAAATCTTATGAATAATTTAAAATTTTGTTTTCAAGCTTTATTTGTCTCCATGTGTTTTCATTTCAGTTCGGTTTTGAAAGAACAGGAATCGATCTCATCCCTGCTCTCTATCAAATTGACATTTTTCTGTAAAATACCACATAAAGAAATAGACATGTACCTAGCACGTTCATTCAGTATAATGCATATTTTCTGCATACTTTTTTTAATGTATACTTTTTTTCTACGTCATACCTGCACCGAAGAAAAAAGTTCTTAGAATGCGATGATAAGTTCATTTATAATGCCATCCTCTCATTTTCTCTTGGCTCTATTCCGTTGCTACTTCTCATTTTTTATGTTTAGAAGAAACTGGCATCACCTGCCCTCGTCGTCAATAAACGAACGTTTTAGATGGAAAGTACTTAGACTATAGCGACCATGCTCTATCCAAAATTCTGTTGATGACCCGCTGTTGTTTGTGTTTGTTTTAGCCAAATTCTCTGTGAACTAGTTCCACAACATGACTGAGGGATGTGTGAATAGTTTCGTTCGTGGATACGACTTGTGATTTTATTTCCATTGATAACTACCTCAATTCTTTGCTCTTCCTGGTTGGTTTTGGAGCATCCTGGATTTCTTTGTGGTAAGAATTCAAACAATAAATGATCAGAGTGAGTGCTTTTCTGAATTTATTTTACATGCCTCGTACAACTTTATATGAGTTGATAAAATATACATTTCAAATCAGTTTATCGTAGCCTATGTTAATATCCAACAAAAAAATAATAATCTAAAACGAGCAATACATCCACTGTTGATGCATCAACGGACACTTTTTGCAAATTCAAAACTTTGTTTGTTTATATATTTGTCAATGCCAAATCTCAGTCCCGTCTTGAAAACACTTTCATAAGAAATCGTGCAACAATTATCATCATCGATTTGGGCTTTAATGTAAAATTTGTCCAAAAAGTTGGATCAGCTTTAATCCGAATTCAGAACGCAAATAGTGAACATGAAGATAGACCAAACGTCTCCATTCTCCGGTTCCACAAGCATGAATTCTGAGAAACGCAACGGCCTCTCACAAAATTTTCGTTTATAATAATCTCTGAGGACCGAGCTACGTACCTACCAGTTTTTAATGTTTTAATAGAAGTGTTAGCTAACTTTATAACAATAGTGAGACAGATAAAGACTTGTGATGCCTTCGTCCGTTATATTATTCTAGCCGTTCGAAACACACTGACACACAGTTCTGTTACTGTTAACAGACAAAAATTTCAGTCAAGTAACGTGACCTTCGCCACGTATGTATTATATTGCAAGAAAGAAAAAAAAGATTGAACTGTTTCTAGTAATTCCATAGTTTTTGTTTTCTCAATGTTCTACGGAATCAGATTAATATTCAGATTAGTATTAATATTAGAGTGCGCTAACTCCCTCGTCCTTCTACTAATGTATAGCGACCACAAGAGTGTTGAAATGGCTACTGCATTTTTGATTGGTTTCAAAATTGCATGATAGGATAACTGCCGTGCTGCGACGACGAACACACTGATCATGTTTGCTATGTTAGATCGAACGCCTAAGAATGCACGAATGGAAACATTTTTTGCCAATGGCTGTTAGATCAATTAGATATTTTGTTCTTCTCAAAAACTTAATAAAAGTGGTTACTATAATCAAAAGCGAACAAATCCATTATATAAACGATAAAATGCAGTTCAAAAGCTAGAAAAATTCTGCCTCTATTTAATAAAGCTTCTGGAGATCGAGTCAGCTAACACTGAGGCAGTTAGGGTTCTTCTACAGATCGATCACACCCCCTACTGTGGTGTGTGTGGAGTGTGAGTGTGAGTGTGTGATCGATCTGTAGAAGTACCGCAGTTAGTCTACTGTTGTGTACTATGCTTTTCTCAATCAATCCAATCTGAAGTGAAATATTCATATACAGTAAGAATAGCCTTTTGATACCATTTCGAGAAAAATTGATTTGAAGTATAAAGCTAAAGTTGTTTTGCTTAGTTAATCTTAAGAGACCGCTTATATTAACGCGAGCGTCGACAAAAAAAAAGATAAAATGTCAACTATTAGTATTTTTTATTAACATTCCCCTTTTTTTCTAGATACATAAAAATATCATTTAAAAAAGAATAATGCGTTCGCATTTCAAGCAATATCTGTCCACTACCTTATATTCCATTGTGATTCTGTTACAACTGATCAATTATTCAGATTGCCTTTACTTTCATATTCGTGAAACTGATCGCAAATGTTTCATCGAAGAAGTACCAGATGAAACGTTAGTTATTGGAAAATACAAAGTTGAAGTAAGAAAACTTTGTTTTACACCTCAATTTTTTTTCTATAATATTGTTTTTGTATCTCTTAGATGCATGACACAGTAACAAATACGTTTATACCAACTGGTAGTGGAATCGGAATGCATGTTGAAGTGAAAGATCCAGAGGAAAAAGTGGTACTATCTAAACTTTATACAGCAGAAGGAAGATTTTCTTTTACATCACATGTAAGAAGAATTTTCTGTCTCTTACACTACATCTCATTGAATTTTTTTATTCTATATAGATTCCTGGTGAACATGTCATTTGTTTGTATTCAAATTCAACTGCGTGGTTTGGTGGTCAGCAATTAGTGAGTATTTCACTTACTTCATCCCCGTTTATTTCTCTTTTTCCTCTAATTTTTTTCTATTCGAGATATTTGTACACGATTTGCACCTAAACATCACCAGTAGCACAAATAGAGTTTTTAAAAGTAGTAAAACTTATAAATAGCATATAAAATTTCTGCAAACTAACTCTTTAGAGTTTTGCTTTAGCAATACACCTTTTCTATGATTTCTTATCCTCATTGAAAGCGAAGATGTTGGGAGATCTCTGGTAAGACGTTTACAATGTTGTATATTCTACTTTGTTTAGCGTGTTCATCTTGATATCGATATTGGTGAACATGCTGTGGATTATAGACAAGTTGGTACACAAGAAAAATTAACTGAATTACAATTACGTGTTAGACAATTATTAGATCAAGTTGAGCAAATAACAAAAGAGCAAAACTATCAACGTTATCGTGAAGAACGTTTTCGTGCTACAAGTGAATCTACAAATCAACGTGTATTATGGTGGTCGATTGCACAATTAACTATACTCGCATTGACTGGTGTATGGCAAATGCGACATTTAAAAGGTTTTTTTGAAGCAAAAAAACTTGTTTGAAAGATGAAAGCGCTCACCAAAAGCATACCCGTTTATTTCTTATAGTTCTTTTTCTACAAATACCAAAGAACGAGTTTTTAGCGCCTCGATAGAATAAGGAAGCAACACATTCTACAAAAGTTTGTTTATTCCAGTTGTTCTTTTTCTATTTATTTCTCCTTTGTTATGAAAGTTGTCTCACGTGTATGTGAAAAAATATTTTGTTGGTTATTTTTATTTGATATCGATTTAAAAAAGCATTTTATAGTCTTTAGTTACATATATGTTTATTTTTTTTTCTTCTCTCACATTCAGTATCGTGTTATGTCTGGTAAATGGATTATGTTTTGTGCTTTCAGATTTCTTATTTAATTTTAGTTATAATCTCAATAAATTCTAAAATATTTATATCTCGTTCACTATGATTTTATCAATAAATAGCTTCTATCGAAGTATCAATACAAACACTTAAACTTTTGCCATAAACACGAATGAATTTAATATTTCATAATCCTAATGGAAATTAAGATTGCCATAATGTCATTTTATCTTTATTTCTTCTTTGAAAAATGTTCGTTAAGTGCATGAATGCAACTAATCAGACCTTTAAACATATTAGCTGTCTTAATACATTCAGTTTTTCTTTATTTTAGATAAAATTTCTTTATTATTTCATTTATTACTTCGTTATTGTTTTATTTTGTGTCGCAGACACATTTTTATTTCCGTATTAAAAAAAAAAACATTTTACAGATTGTAAATATTATTGTTGTTATAAACGTGCATCCATGTTAGCTCGTGGTGTAAGAAATGTTATTTATAATTATACTGAAGCACAGCGAAAAGTTCGAGAAGCGACAAGTAATGATGCATGGGGACCATCGCCGGCACTTATGCATGAAATAGCCGATTTAACACACAATGTTGTTGCCTATGCTGAAATAATGCCCATTGTATGGAAACGTTTGAATGATCATGGAAAGAATTGGCGTCATGTTTATAAATCTCTTGTACTATTAGATTATTTAATTAAATATGGTAATGAACGCGTTAGTCAACAATGCAAAGAAAATATATTTGCTATTCAAACATTAAAAGATTTTCAATATATTGAAGATAATAAAGATCAAGGTTTTAATGTTAGAGAAAAAGCAAAACAATTAGTATCATTATTGAAAGATGATGAACGTTTGAAAAATGAACGACGAAAAGCACAAGAAGGACGAAATAATTATTATCAACAAGCAATGGGTATGGATTCAAATGGTGCTGTGACATACGGGAGACAATCATCGACAGTAAGACGGAATAGTACAAATGATATATCACAAATAGGTGGTGATTATATGTCAGGTAACAATTATATGAGTAATACGAATACAGTGAGATCATCATCGTTCAATGATGGAATACATACACAAGTTAAAAAAGAATTTGTACAACCATTAAATCAAGAAGAAGAAAATTTGCAAATGCAAATAGGTAATACTAGCATTGTCTTCATTATCTTAACACTACTGAATTTTTTTGTTTTTTTCTAGCTCTGGCCGAATCTCAGCGTGAAGCAGAAGAAGAAGAAAGACGACGACGAAATGATGATTTAAGATTGAAAATGGCATTAGAACGATCAGTTAATGAAAATCCGTCTGATGCAAATCATGGACAGGTAATTAAAGATACTATCACTATTCGTTTAAAAAAGATGGTTGTGAATGTTATTGAGATAACGTTTGTGACAAGAAAACTAGAAACGTTTACCTAGCTGAACCGTGTTCTGAGAAAATAGACCGTCGGTACAAGTAAGAAATTATAGAGTATTCTTAAGGATATGTAAAATTTCCCTGAAAATCTTGTACGAAACATTACTCTTTTCACGCCATTTCATAAATATCTGCGGAATAACAGTTTGTCGAGCAATGTCACTTTATTCGTGTAAATTATTCAAATTTTACTTTTGTACATGCTCAGTAGACATTCTGGTGTATTTAACATCTGTTTCTTTCCAGGAAGGATAATTTTACCGAAGAAACATCGATGAGGTACACTAATCACAGATGATGATTTTTTTCCATACGTTATGCGGTTAAACACAATATAGAAAAGAGCTGAGAAAAATTCACAATCATTCTTTTTGGATATGAATAATAGTAATTGTTAATTTTCACTCACTAGTTCACTGTTGCCTATGAAGATTATTCGGTAATAATCCTAACTATGATGACCAATATTTTTTTAATTCTTTTGTTTCTAGTTATTTGATGTATCAAGTCAAAACCAGCTCGATCCATCATTATTTTCTCAACATCTAATGGATCATACTACATGGAATGAAACGAATGCCACATCAACAGCATCAAACTTCGGATGGAATACAAAACCCACGATTGACATTGGCTTTCCTTCGTTCGATACGGCGTCAAATACAAGTATTAAAGTTTTCCTCTTCTTCCATGTTGTTATTTTTTCCTATTTTTACACATAAGAATGTCAGATATTTTTCAAAGATTTTATAATCCTTCTGGCTCAATTATATAAGTACGATCATCACCAAACGATTTCGGTTTCGTAAATGAAGAACCGTTCCATCAGCTCTCTGCTACAAGATCAGAATATTCTATTTCAAGTAAATTGTGTATGTTTCTAACTGGATAAGGAAATTATAGGTTTTTTTGCTCAATATTTTTCATTGGCTATTAGAATTATCATTTTTAATGTAACTTTATTGAATGTATAATTATGTTTTTACTTTTATAGATCAATCAGCATGGCCTTCAGCATGGCAAGGAAACGCTGCTGGATTTGGCTCTCAAAATAGTCGTGTGCCACCTACATCAGCAGCATCTATGTCAGTGATGAATAATACAACAACAACAAACAATAATCCTTGGAATGATTTAGCAACAGAAACTCAAATAACTTCATCACCAGCGAGTGATCCATGGGGTTTAAGTAGCAGCGATCCACGTTATAATGCAAATGCTAGAAATATGTCTCCACTTCAAACAACTAATGACCATATGTACACGACAAAATCGGCAGATAATGAATTAAGTGACTTTTTTGGTGGTAATAGCGAAGGTAAATGTTGAATGTGTGAGAGAAATTATTTTTTACTGTACATTTGTTCTAGCATCTTCATCGACTGATAATCATTCAAAACCGTTTTCTTTATCAACATTCTCTACTACAACTGCATCAACAAATCCATGGAACATGTCGTCATTATCCACTACATTACCACCTCAAACAACATCGACAAGTCCAAGTTCATTTTCATCATCCAATTTATCAAACAATATATTATATCCGAATATAGAAAATAAGTTTAATCAAACCAACCAAAGTTCATTTCCAATGAACAGTAGTGCTGCTACATCTAGAAAGACACCTGAATCATTTCTTGGAGACAAATTTATTGGTCTTGTTAATCTCGATAAACTTGTAACTGAAACAAAAAGTAAGATTAAATATATAATAGTTTTAGTTTTGTACACTTTATCATATATATTTATTTTTAGCTACAAATCCGTTTGGAGCAACTCCACGTACACCAAATCCATTTGCCCAAACTGCTAAACCACCGACTCTAGATCAACTGAGTTCAGTCAATAATACAAGCGGTTTTTTACAGGCACCGACGTTGCCTCCACCATTGATTCCACTATCAAGTACTTTAGCACCAACTCCTCCACCATCCAATTCAAAAAATCCATTTCTTTGAAAATAAACGAGCTTTCTCTTTTTTTTTATCCAAGGTTTGTAGATTGTTATTTTCCGAAAATAACAGATTCTTTTTCTTATTTGTATACTAGCATCCTAAAGTCATTCTTATACTAGAGATTATGAGACTGTTATTTCACACACTATTTATTTCTTTTCTTATCTTATGATGTGTGTATTTAAACTAATTAATAGTTAGTGTGAAGACTTAATATAATCTTATCTTAATCTATAGTTTAAGAAATTTGAGGTTTTTCTTAAATTATTTTTGCGTGCGTTCTATGTGTCTCTGTGTGAATGTGAATTTATATATGATACGACACTGATAAAATAGAATAATTGCCACAGCTTGTTTGCTCGTTTTCATTCCAGTAAGTTTGCATATGAATGAAAAAAAATGGTAAAGAAAGAATTTAAATTTGTGAATAACTTTGACAAAATATGTAATGAAAAGTTCAATTTGACAAAGGTTGATGTAGAAGTTTTAGAGAGGATTAATTAATACTTGAAGAAGTTTGTATGTAGATATTCTTTTGTTCTTTTTCTTCATTTTAATCTTGTTAACAAGCTTTATTTATCGCTTCCAACAGTCATAATACTATTAAACAATCATTATTTTTGTTACTTCTTTTTAATTATCTGCCGAAAAACTTGATATCACATCGTAGTGACTGTTTTCTCTCTACCTCTCTCGCTCTCTCTCTTTCTCCTGTTTTTTCTTCTAATATTTGTGAATAAACATGGCATATGTATCTATTACTAAGTATTTGTCTCATGTGTGTATTTTCTAACATGTGCTATTTTATCATTAAATTTTCTTTTTCGTCTAATGAAAGCGTTATTGCGTCGTGTAATATATATTTCTTTTTTTTGCATGTAGACAATAAGATACATTTAGTTGTATTGTCACTTCCTCCTTTTCCTTACTTAAAAATATCTCAAGCTTTTTGTACAATGTGAAGTTTATTTATGAGCGAGCGTATACTGATTTCTTTTCTATTGAATTGTTCATACACCACTAGCATATACTCATTCATTCAGTCGTTTTTTCTTACCGTTTACGTTATCTGCACTATATATTAATTCCGTGATGTTTTTATTATAACAAATAAAAACCAGTTCATAAAAGAAAAAGGAATAAAATTTTAAAAAATTACTTTTATTCAATCATAGAGAAAAATATTAACCCCTTGACTGTTAACGACGAGTATACTCGTCAGAGCAATTTTTATGAAAAAGATGCAGACTATAATTCTTTAATTCAGTTTTCCCTGTATGCCATGGGTCGACTCTAACATTCTGCACCTATTGGAGCTCACTCTACTGACTCTGACGTTTCCTATATACTATGTCGCTCGCTCTTGAAATTGCGTAATAGAAAGGGAAAAAGTCAAACAAGATCAATATCAGTTTGTTAATTGAAAAGAGAACAAAAACAAACAAGTGTAACGGATCAAGGAGCGAAGAAAATAAATGACGACATAAAATAAACATAACAGTCAAGGGGATAATAATAATATCGATATTTACTATAGTATTTTTATATCTACAAAATAAAAATATCCCTTGTTTCAGATGTCAGAACCCACTGAACTTCCATTTCATTCAACAGATAATAATAATACAACTATGGCAGTTAATATTCCTTTAAAAGTAATGTTTGCTGCTCCTGATGTTGATCTTCTTAGTCCACCGAGTAAACATGAATATTACACACAAAATAGCAATAGTCCAAAACCACTGATATCATTTGGTATTATATCAGATATTCAATATGCCGGTACTCTAAGCTTAATTTTTATTTATGTGAATTAAACTGTATATTAAATTGTTTTTTTTCGTCTTCTGTCTGTTTCTAGACAATGACGATTGTTGGAATTATGATAAAACTCGTTTGAGACGTTATCGAAATGCGTTAAAATTAGTAAATGAAGCATGTTCACAATGGAAAAAAATTCATGATGAAACACCACTATTATTTATTTTACAATTAGGCGATATTATTGATGGTATATGTTTTCAAAATAAAAAATCTGATGAAGATTTACAAACAATTTTAGAACCATTTAATCAATTAAAATCTGATATTCATTGTCAAATCTATCATCATTGGGGTAATCATGAATTTTATAATTTTAAACGAGATACATTACATTCATCACCATTATGTTCATTTAATACAAAACAAATTTATCCTGCATATTATGGTACATTTGAAGTATGTAAACATTTACGTGTTATATCACTTGATACATATGAAACAAGTGCATTAGGTGTGGATGAAACAAGTACCATTTATCAACAAGCACTTGATATGTTGACAAAACATAATAAAAATGAAGATTTGAATAGTCCAGAAAATTTAAGAGGACATCAAAAACGATTTGTGTTATTCAATGGTGGCATTAGTGATAAACAATTAGAATGGTTAAATAAACAATTAACTGAAGCATCAAAAAATAAAGAAAAAGTTATAATTACAGGTAAGAATCACTGTGACCAATTGTTTTGACTGTAACAAAAGTCAACTGTTGAAGTAGACTGTTTACCTTTTCATAGAGCAGCCAAATAATATCAATACTACTAAATATACATTTTCGAACTATACGTACTATTAGACAAAGAAAACTAATAGAATAAAAAAAATTTATTCTGCGTTTAGGACACATTCCAATTCATCCAAGTGCATGTGAGCACTTGTGTTTATTGTGGAATTATAAAGAAGTTCTTGATACATTGTGGCAATATGATTGTGTTATTGCTGTTATATGTGGTCATGGTCATGACGGCGGTTATTTTCGTGATCGTAAAAATATTCATCATTTAACATTTCCAGCCATTGTCGAAACGGATCCAAATACCAACGCTTTTGCTACTGCTCATGTGTATCCAGACTGTTTATTAATTCAAGGCGTTGGTCGTATTAGTACATATCAAATTGATTGTCAATTAGAAAATATTCTAACTTCATCCTGAGATATTCAATTTAATATTCTTTATATTAGTGTGCGTATTTTATTCACTAAATATTTTTTTTATGCTGAAATCATTTTTCTATCCGGTGAACAGTAGCGTACCCAGAACTTTGTTAAGGGATAGTAAACCAAGTACCTTTTACACTCCACTATTTTCTAAATTTACTTGATGAGCTAAGTTTTAACACTTTTTTTTGAAATATCACTCAAATAAAAAATACTGCGTTAGCTATTGAGTTCATACGAAAATCGTTGCCCTTAAGGCCTCCGCCCCATCAGGAACCTATCTCCGAAAGTATAAGTCTGATCTTAACAAAAATTTCAGGGAATGTTGACCATGCCAAGTATGGTGATGAAGCTCTTCATGTCACTTCGTTATCGAAAAAATCTTAAAAATACGAAATGTATGCAAAAAGAAATATCATTTCGAGAAAAACATAAAATACTGTTTTCAAAAACTGTCAAAGACTAGTTCAGGGCATAGAACTTAGTGCATTTGTACGAGAACACGTCAGGCTATTAAACCATGTACTTATCTAAAAAACGATATTTTTAACGAAAATTGATATTTCTTCCGGTATCCTTAAACTCAACTAATTTATTTTCGACCTCAATTAAATTTTTTTAGCGCGAATTAGGAAGCTAAAGTTTCTAAAGGATGAGCCATGGTTTAGTGACGGGTACGTCCCTGCTGGCGGATAATATTTTATTTTTTACTAGCTTTAGTCTGTGTAAAAAAAGAAAACGATCTAATGCTTAAATGAAAGTAGTTGTGTGTTTAGTTTAAGCTTCTAATCTTAAACCAGAATGAAAACCAGAATGAAAACGAGAACGTAAACTCCCATTATATTATTCTGAAACTTAAATTATCAAAGTACAAAATCAAGCTAGAATCAAACACACGAACTTTGATCTTTGCAGACAAACTACAAAAATCAACTTCGCTGTTCTTTCCTATATTTTCCCCAATGACTCAACGTTATCCTCTAATGTAAATATTTTTTTGTTTTGTTTTTTATTTACGCTTTTAATCTTAAACCAGAATTGTGTGTTTACTTGCTTTATTTTTAATAAATAGCTTCTGTATTAACAATGTGTTATTTTTTGTTCAAATTTGTCGTTTCAAAATTGATATAATATTCTGTATTGTAGATTTTGTCTCGAAAAGAGTGAAGAATCAAGTATGAGACTATACAATCGAGCGGTGCTTATTCATCGACAAATTATTTATCAGCCTTGGAAAGATCGTAAGATTGTTATATTTCTTAAAAGTTTTAATAAACGATTTTATTTTTTATTTTTTGCAGAAGGTATTTCAATGTTAAAATATGCCACTGAACATATTCCACATATTGTGTTTGGAGTACCATTAGCAGTTTTTTGTATGTTAGATCATCGAAGTTTTTTTAGTCATTGATCTACAAAATTTCTTATTGTTCTTACAGGTGTGATTGTATATGGTTCTAAAAGTGTTTATAAAACAAATAAATATCAATTTAATGTATATAAACGACGTTGTATGGGTACGCATGTCATTCCATTACTTTTTCTACCATCTAATACTTTTAAAATTTTTCTCTTATCTAATAGTTCGTCGACCAGAAGATGTACCGATCGAATATCGTCCATTTTGTAGTTAAAAAACTCTTATACCATTCTCCTAGATTTGAAATTTAGTTTGTAGAAAATTAAAAAGAAATCACACACATATGGATTTTGTTTATTCCACAGATATAATATTCTTACTTTTTTTTCAACCGTTCTGTTTTACAATAAAAATATTTAAACAATCGTTGTCATTCTAATCCATTGATAGATTTAATTTCAAATTATATATGGCAAATGTTGATGATTATTAGAGACAGACGTCTGTATCCGACACACGTATTCAATACTCAAATTACTATTAACATCGTGACAGTATTATCCAATCTAAATGAGAAAAACAACCGGATTCTCATTATATAAAGACATGTAATTACTTTCACTATCTCGTGCACACAACAATATGAATCATTTAGAACATGATAAGATGTATGTGGTAAATTAAATATGGCTCAAATGATTATATGATCTAAAAAACCATGCACGACGAATAAAGGTTTCGAAATACGTTTATCTTAATCTCTGATAGTCACAATTTTGGCATTTTATATTGATATATTAAAATATTGGTTAGTTCTGGTGTTGGTTTAATTACATCAGCAAGTTTTCATATACCAGTTAATGTCAACAATTAATTGAGACTCGTCTTCATTAACTGAATCATCATGAATATCACGACTCCATCTTGCCTAAGATGGAGAAGCTCATACTCTTCGAAATGGATATCAGAAAAAATCAAAAGAAATCAAAACTTTTAGCAATCTCTATTTATTGAACAAAGTCATTTCTATGATATTTTGCATTGTAGATCATCATATTTTTGAGTTGTATGTTTCAATAGTAAATCTTTTAATAAACATTTTAAACTTTCTATCTAAATTTGAATAGTTCAATTTTTTTTGTTATAAGAACATATTCGATTAATAATAACAAGATACAACAGTTCTTTGAACGAATATATTAAATATCTATCTATTCTTCTGTTGTTAATTCATTTCTGTTTGTGTGTATTTTATTATTATATTTTGGGTATAATTTAATATCAAACAACAAAAAAAAAAGATGATGATGAAATAGAGAAGAACCAACTATGAATTGCAAACAAGAGAAGATAAAAAAAGAAGAAGAACAAAAAGAATATAATTTCAGGAAATACAAACAAATGACATATGATAACAAATAAAAAGACACATGGTCACCAATCTAAATTATTATTATTATTATTATTATATAAAATATTTTCCCAAACAACAAATAAAGGAGTCAGTTAAACACGATAATATTCTTAGAATGAAATCCTAAAATAAATATTTATTTTAAGAGAATGTCTGCTACATGATGGATATTTGATTTAACTCTATTTCTTTTTTTTTATCATCCTACTTTAATTAAATTCTAGATAACAAGAAAAAAAAAGAGAAAAAGCGTACGCACTACACACAAGCATACATACACACATTACAACAAGAAGAAAAGTGCAACCCTTTTTAATGCAAAAAAAAAGTGTAAAAAATGAGTTTAAACTTTGACGTGTCTCAATCCCCATACAAGATTAGAAAAACAAATATAGGCGATCTGTCTCTTTGTCGCGCTGCCATTAAACAGACTAAACTAACATGAACAACAACAACAAAAAAAAAAGAAGAATATTTTCTATATGCCTATGTAATCGTCAGATAAGACAAACAAAAAAAAAGAAAAAAAAAACGAAAAAGAAAAGCAAATAAGAATATATGATAGATTTTTTTTTTTCGCCTACTCATTTTTTTTTTGTTGAAAAGTGAATATAATATTAACAAAACAAAGTTTAAATATTTTTTTATTAAAAAGAGACGAATGAGAGAACAGAACAGAACAGCAGAAGAAGATGTCGGTGTTCTTTGATATCGAGCTAACACCTGTTTGGTATATGTACATATGACAGTTCAATGTTGTTAAATCACAAAATCAAAGAAATAATAAAATAATTGAATAATATAGTTGAGTTGACGATAATCATAGATACATTAGCGATACGATACACATTTGAATGTTTTCTAAAAGTAAAGAGAATGAACATAATTATTAGAATAAAGATATATCAACAATGTTCAATATACCCACGACATAAAGCAAAGAGAAGAATTTGATTCGTTCATAATATAAATAGTGATAAAAATTCAAGACACAAGCAGTGATTGTTGTGCATACAGATTGTAGAATTTTTGAAGCAATTCAAACGTTATTTAAGGGCCCCCCTCTCAGAAATGGTGATTTTCGGTCAAAAAATCGGTTTTAAGATACACACATGGAAAGATAGCCTGAAGTGTCTACTTCCAGAATCTGTATTGCTTTTGGTTACAAAACTGGTTTTTCGGGGATTTTGAGCAAGTTTTCCAAGAGCCTCGAAAAAATGGGTCTTTAA